TTCATTTACAACAGTGGTGTACGACTCGCTAAATTTCTTGTAGTTCGGCGAACGGGGATTCTGGGATGTTTAGTACAGCCAGATTTGTAAACAACAATACGTATGTAAATACGTTTTGACAGAATAATGCTTTTGTAAAGATGGTTTAGCTTATTTTTAAACAATAATGCTTTAATAAGATGTAGCATCAATCTTTTTTTAGTTGTAAACTAAATATTTTATTTTGAAAACGCTGGAATATGTTAGTATAAAACTTTTTATAGCATTTAAAGCTTTTATTTTTGTTATATTTTGAACAATAAAAAATAACATTCAATTTTATTTTTAATGTTCAAAATATAAAAAAAATACAAACATTAAATGCCATAAATTAAATGTCATACTATTTTATACTTATATATTACAGCTTTTTCAAAATTGTATATTGCTACACTGTTTACAAACAATGTAAAAATTATTGTAACAATCATTTGAACAATGTAACATTGTTACATATGTTAAATTGTCTAACGAAGTAAACGTATTAGTTATATAAACTTGTTTTTTTTTTCAATATATGTACATTTCAATTCTTAACTACCCTCTGCATTATGCTAGAAGGTTTATAATATAACTGTATGGTAGACAGCAATCAGGGTCTCAACTAAACATAAGAAAAATTTTTAACAACTCTACAATAAGAATATAGCCTTTTTTTTATAAATGTTTCCATATTTAGACATTTTATTTAGTAGCCTAAAATTATACAACTGCTGTATGAATTGTTTATTGAGCTCTATTAGTATAAAACAACTCAAACGTTCCTTCTAGTTTTGATATGTTTTCAATATTGTTTTTTTATACTTTTATATATGTTTTTGTTATTTTTATTATCCTAATCTTATATATAATATAAAAGATTTAAAGGATATTAGAATTTATAATTTCAATTTAGTACATTATAAATAAATACACATTTTTAAACTAAATATATACGAGCCATTTTTTTAAGGCATTTTTTATAACGTGGAGCTATGTCACGATTGTAAAATTTGATGAAATAATAAATTTGAATATCAACAAAATAGTGTATTAGTTTTCTCTCCAAATGCGATGCATGTTTTGGGTGAAGGTTGTATAAAAAAACAAAATTGCAGTCTTTCTTGATAGCCTTAATGATAGATCCTGCTATATTTTTGCATACAATTATTTTATTAATGTTGTTAGTGAAAATGGCTTTCATTACTCTTACAACTTCACGTAAACATTACCTATGTGAGTTGACTTTTGTTCATTGAATAATGAGTTATTCGCTACATTACTTTGTTCATTTACTAAATTAAGACATAAGTCTAATGATATTGCAGCAGTGAAACCAAATTCTGAAACATAATTTGTATTAGACTTTGTTTGTTCAACAAAAGTAGTAAAGCATTTTGGTATGCAGACTTAAATTGTTTGGCTGTTGGCCTATCATTCCAACCACCTTTACTTCTTATAATTGAAAAAAAAATTATCTATACAGTCCTGATTGAAATGTGATGTGCAAACAAAATGAAAACCTTCACCAAGCAACTCTCTGGACAATGTCATAATGTTGTTTATTGTTATTATAAGTCTCCAGTGACTGGAAATACTAGTCTGACTTCTAGCATTTTCATAATGCCATGTACAAATCCAAGTCTTAATATCTTCCAAGGTTTTCATAGTCTCTCCTTCAGTTAATGCACACCTAGCTGGTTTGTCTGCTATTAATTTTCTAGAGTTGATTATATCAAAAAGAGTGTCAACTTTTTAAATGAATTCACATGTTGCTAAAGCATCAGGTGGTAAAAGCTTTGCGATTATACATAAGGACATAGCTGCTGAAACTTGGTGACTAAAAACTTGTGTTGCCAATTTTACTCTCATAGATGTTTGAATTGAGGAAGGCGATATGTATGGTCTTGTGTTAAGGAACCCTAGTAACTTCAAAGCTGAAATATTTGTAGTACTTTGGTCACACACAACAGCTCGTACATGTAGTCCAATTGAAGTCAGTTTGTCTATTGCTTCTAATATTATTTGTGATAATTTAACTGATTGAACTGAGTTGTTGCTATAAAAATACGCAATTGGCTGCTTCCACTTTATTGCAATACCCCGAAACATTACAACTAAAACATGATTTAATGGTTTCCCATCTTCATCAATACCAATAATGTGGTCAAGATTTCTTTTATAGTCTACATGCTGTTTGAGAGACATCTCGTCAAATACAAGGCAACAGTTGCGTTCATTGACATTCATATAATTGACTCGCATTTTGAGTAAAGCAAAAACCTTTGCAGAAAATCCAGGCTGTAGGTTTCCAAATGCTTTTGACAAAAAAACAACGAGAGTTGTCTTACTTGGCAATATAAAAAATTGCCTCAAAATACGAAATGCCTGTGGACTATGATACAAGACGCGTAGAGAAACTAGTTTGTCATGTATTGTCCACCTTTTTCCATGTTTTGTTCGCTTGTTCATTCTAAGTTGACTCTCAAAAAATTTAATCTGGTTTTCAGAAAGGTATTTCTTTGCAAGATCACAAATATGTTCAATAGATCCATTGCATTTTTTATTATGTGTTTTTAAAAACAATAGTTTTTTGTTTAAACGATAACTTTTAACACGATTCAAGTTAATTACTTTTTGAAAATTTAACATCTGTTTTTTAGCTTTATCATTTATATTTAAATCTTCTGAGTTGGTAGTGTCTGTACTAGAAAAAACTGCTGACTTTACAGACTGTTCATTAGTAATTGATTTACTTTTTTTGTGTGACTGAAGAAGAAATCTTTCTGAAGGTGCTTTTCTTTTAATAGAAATTTTGTGAGGAGGATTTGGTACATCAAATCGGATCGGAATTGCTGTTAAAATTACTTTTTTGCCTCCAATATTTGATGGATAATACTGTGTTGGCTCAAAATGTTTACTGCATAAAGCGTATGATTTATTTAGTTCTAATGAAGTTTTCTTGTCGAGATCTTAGCGACGGTAATTGATAACCCACTGCTTACATCTGAAATAAAAATAATATATATATATATATATATATATATATATATATATATATATATATATATATATATATATATATATATATATATATATATATATATATATATACATATGTTAATAATAAAATAGATACTAACCTTTTTTTGTCTTTTGGAAAGCGAAAAAATGAAACACTTTTATCAACATTTTTTCCTCGTTTATGATGACAATTAGGAGCTGCGCAAAATCCAGCAGACATGGTTTAGTATTCTATACTATAGTTTGACAACTTCAAATAATTGAAAGAAAAAATATATAAAAATCAGCTGAATCATGCGATAGAAAAGTATATATTGTATTTTTTTAATTTGTATTTTGTTGTTTATGTTTACAATCTGGCTGTACTACACATCCCAGAAGCCTTTGCGTCAGCAATTACAAGAATTTAATGCAAATTTTGCCGAGTCGCACCCCACAGATTTATAATATCGTGCATGCCCACTGTGAGATTCCGCCCACTGTGAGACGAATGGACATTTCTTTTTGTACCCAGTGTTGATTTCTTGCTCGACTGTCTCACATAAAGAAATAACATGGAAACTTTGTAAAACCTTTCTGCTGAACAAGCAGAAATTTAACTATTTTTAGATCTACACAAATAACCCATTTGTGTTCTTGATATTTATTCAAGTTAAGCACCATTTTGATGTCATCGTAAGTTTCTCGCAAATAAACAGAATGACCAATTGGTACAGAACCAAAAATAATTTCACTGTGCAAAATAAGGTATTTAAGGCTTCGCTTTAAGCTTTCGATAAAAAGTTAACAATGGTTTCAACTGTTGTTCGAAAGTAAGAAACTTTTGCAAAGCTATCGAATAGTTTTCCTTTGATCGTGACACTAATACTTCTGCTGTTTGCTTAGAAAAACCTAAATTACGAACTAAGCCATTCAGTTTTATCTGACTAAAACTCTTAGGCAAACTGTATTGTTTAATACAAGGTGAAAAGTTTTCCAAGGTTTTTCTGGTAAAAATTTTTCTGTTTCTGTAGCAGACATGCTTTGTTCATTTTCTGACGAAAATAAACTTTTAAAAATTGGAAATGAAATCTCGTTAGAATGTTGAATTGGTCAAATAGCAGAAGGAATGTTGGGATAAGCCTCTTTATTTTGCCAATACAAGTAGTATCAACAAGACAAAAATAGCAGTCATCAATCTTCCCTCCAAACTATGGGGACTCTAAAAGGTAAATTCTTGCTTTTTCCTTTTGTTCAAACTCAAAGACTTTCTTCACAAAAAAACAAAACAAAACAAAAAACGCCTAATTGAAAGTTTAATTAGGTTTAAATAATATTAACATGGTATGAATTAAAGTCGATTAGAACTTTGAGAGTAAACAAAAAACTCGGTTATAAATATAATAATACATACTATTGTTATTAAATGAAAAAAGTAAAAATTTAACATTAAATCGAATGAAAAAATTTTCACACGACTAAATTGACTATTATTATATTAGAGGGAAGCTCAAAGTCGATTAGCAGTAAGTCCAAAGTAAGCTAGTTTCGATTTTCGACTAGTCGACTTTTAGCTTCAGCTGATAACAACACTAGTTGTTACTAGTACTAAAAATGAATAAAAATTATTTTAAAAAAATGTTATTTATCTCCCTAAAGCCGAGAGGGCCACTACAAAGAGAAACCTACTTTATGGAGGTTAACAACTTTCTCTCAACTTTTTAATTTCAAAACACGAACTTTGAAACCTACTTTCTCTAAATTTTTTAATTTCTAAACACGAGCTTTGACGAACAAGATCACTGCTTGGAAAAACAAGATGAGCGCGGTACTTTCAGGGACGTGGTGAGGATCATTCTCGGAACTTCTTGTTTATGAAGTGAGCGCTAATTTTATATTATAGAAATTATATAAATTTTTAGATATTGATTAACACACACTAAAAAAAAATTAAAAAAAATAATAGTAATACAAGAATGATTAGTAAACCTATTATTCCAGGATATTTTATTGTTAAAATAAATTTATTAGTAAATATTATTGTGACCGTAGAATAAATATTATAATATCAATACATTATAAACATTTATAGGTAAATAATTGCATACATAATTTATTTACACGTGCTAAATTGATTTAGATATCAAGTATTCATTGTGTATCAGCTTATACCAACTGACATTTGGAACATCTGAGAAATACCATATGCAGTAAATTAGAAAGAAAATATCTAATCACTAAGAAAAGTGTAAGCTTTATTACTTAAATAATTATAAGATACAACCAATAGAATGTCTATGAGACATCTCATTGGTTAGAATTTCTCACATGAATTTTATTTATAAAAATATTTCACAGAATGTGAGTAGCCGGGTATAATGCTGTCTGCTTCAATATTTTATGTGTTAATACTGGTCACTAAGATGAAAGCGTAAGTAGTAATTTATTGCAATTCGTTTACAAATGCCTCATTTTGTGCTCCTGGTGTTGGTAAGTCATTTTGATTATGACATGTTTGTAAATTAGCGTTATCTACCACATTTGAACTTGCATTAACCTTTGGCTGAGGCGCATTAATCATTGAATTAGATTTTTTACGAACAAAAAGTCCAGAGCTGATTCTCTTTTTGATACTTGTCGATGTCGTGCCTTGAGGTGATTTAGAAGTAGACCGCCTAATCTAAAATTATTAAAAAAGTAGGATAAAATTCTACAAGTTTTGAGTTTCTTTCTTTAAAACATATTTTTTATGGTTATAGATATATACATATACAGTGAGTTGCCAAATTATTTGTAATACTTTGCTTTTTAAGTAATTTAAAAGTTTAAAAGATTTTTGCGAGCAAATAAATTGTTTTTCACCTTTTCTTTCTCAATGTTACTATTAGGCAACACAAACTTTAAATTCAAAAATCAATAATTGTTTACTAACCTTTTTTTTAAATTTAAATTAATGCTTAAGTTTAACTAATTCCTACTACATGGCATTATTTGCAATTTAAAAATAAACGCGCTGATTCGCAATTGTTTTTGAAAATATTGAATGTCAATGCAAAGTTTTTGCATGTCGCCATTTTCATTGTTTTTGTCGTGTGTTATTTTTATTTATTTAATTTGTATTAAGTGAATGATATTATTTTTTACTCACCAAAGGTAAGTTTTTTGAATCATTATATTAATCATAGTTTTTTTATTATTACACACGGAAATTATTACAAAATATTTGTGTTGCCATTTGGCTACAGTAGCAAGTAATGATTATACTTTTCTATTTTATTTTTAGATTCCCGTTTATTATTTGTAAACATAATTATTTTTGCTTGTTTTGGTCTCATATTTTATTTTTTCCCATTTATATTCCCGTCTATTATTTGTAAATATAATTTTTACTTATTTTGGTCTCATATTTCATTTTTTAGCATTTATATTTTAAATAAATGGAAATAGGCTTTATAATTTATAATTATTAGATAAAAGGAAAATTAATTTAGATGAAATAACAGAAGATCATTGGAAATTATTAAAGGATTCTGACGTAAAAATCCGGATACAGAAAAAGAGGAAGAATACTGTTACAAAATAAAATGATAGAAAAATCGGTGGAAGAAGAAACTTTAATGCAAAATGAATTATGTGAAAACAATATGACGGAAAATATAAAAGAGGTACAGGAATTTAGGATGAAGGTCGAGAAAACAAATCTAACTAAAAAAAATCAAAAATATATGACACTACATGGAAAAAGAAAGACAACAAAAGTTGATACTACTTTCAGTGAAGTGTATACCGATCCGCCAGAAGAAATTTTAACACCTTCGGAATATTTCAAAATGTTTGTTGACGACAAAATAATTAATGATATGGTATTCCAAACAAGTTTACATTCGGTTCAAAAAGCAGGAAAATCCATCAACACTAAAAAAAAAGAAATCGAACAATGTTTTGCTATTTATTTGCTGGCTGATATTGTATAAATGCCATCTTATAGAATGTTCTGGGCACATGAGACACAACATGATACAGTTGCGGATATTATGTCTCGCAATAGATTTAAAATATTACAAAGCTACTTTCACCTGAATGATAATTTTAAAAATAATAATGATTTGTGGGGCCTATTTAAAAAATAGGCCCCACAAATGAGAAATAAAAGAATTATCCCGTTGTGGAGCAAGCGGTTTTATATATCAATTAGAAATTTATACAAGCAAAAGTTTCGAAAAGAAGGAGCGAATTTTGGGCATTAATGAAGATGTCGTACTTCGTCTAGTAAAAAACTGCTGGAACATAAAATTTTTAAAGTGTTTATGGACAACTGGTTTACGTCATTCACTGCTAATAATACTAAAAGGAAAAAGATTTTAAGCTACAGGAAACATCCGAAATAATCGGTTACACGGCTGTTTTCTTCAAGAAGAATAAGTGTTTAAAAAAAATGATAGGCGTTCTTATGATGTTTTATATGACGAAAAAAACGGGATTGTAGTTGTAAAATGACTGTAAAATGTACAAATGGTATTATAATATAGAGAAAATAACTTGGAAAATACCCCCTTAACATTCGTGCTCTATAAATTCTTCTGGTCCGTGTTCAAACATTTGAGGTAATAAACATCATTTATAAGAAATATGTAAATCGAAATCGTGAAGGTTTTTTTACAAAACACACAGTTAAGTTCTGGAAATTAGTCTCACAAAGAGCAAGTAGTTTTTTGTGTTTTATAGTTTTTGGTACAAAAAAGGAACACCATCTAAGGGCAACATGGCACTGTTAGTACTCTGATACTTTACAGCTGTTGAAGAAAACAGTCTCTCTGAGAACTACCACAGATATTTTCCGTTACAGCAGCCTTTGCCAAGGCTTTTAAAGTTATAAGACTATAAGAGAATGGAAACAAACATTTAATAAAATATATTTAATATATGAAATATATTAAAATAACCATTTAATTTAATATATGACAACTATTAAAACTTTAAATTCTGTAATTAAAGAAATAACTTATCTGGGACTTTAAATTATTTGAAGAATAATTCAAAATAACTATAAATAATAAGCCAGCAAATTATTCAGTAAATCTGTGAATTTCTTTAAAATTTTTAACTCTTTTTTAAACAACTTAGATTTTGTGAAATTTTAATCTTCAAGCAATTAGCAGTTTATTTATGTAGCAGGTGAGACTCATTTGAGGTGTTGAAAGTAATTTATCTAGGAGAAGAAAGATGATAAACTCTAATTCAATTAAGATTTATCAGAGTAAGTAATAGTTGAAAACTTAAACTTTAGATAGTAATAGCTGTAGTAGACTGAAAAGTAACAGCTAATAGACCAAAGTTTAATGTAATTTTATATTTTAACCTAATAAAAATAAAAAACATTTATTTTATTTTATCTTTACAAAATAAAGATAAAATAAAATAAAATAAATGTTTTTATTTTAATTTTTTTGAACGTATAAAACAATGTAATACTTACAGATGCTCTAAGCTTCAGGCGATTAATTTTTAATTTTGCAGAACTTTGCACTTTTTTACTAATAAAAACTTGAAGCACGCAAACAAAAATACCCTATAAATAGAATCCATCAACATTTATATATAAATAAATAAAAATCAATGGTAATGTTATTTTAGGATTCAATGTAAAACAATTTAAATACAAAACTTAATATCTCATACTAAATAAAAGTATTTTTTGTATCACTAATACTTAGTATGAGAACACTAAAAATTTTTTGGTTCAACTAAAATTTTATTACAAAAAAACTTTATAGAAAAAAAAAAATGTAAATAGCGAAAAGTTTATAAAAAGTTTATTTATTACAAAAAACTTTATAGAAAAATAAAATAGCGAAAAGTTTACTAAAGTTAAAACTAACATTACTTAATTAACATAATAAAATAATAATTATCATAATGAAAAAAAATATATATCTGATGAAAAATTATATAAATAATACAATATATGGACTCATTATATGGACAGAATGTGGCCATTCACCAATTTGAGAACTATTTTAGTGAACAACTGAGTTTACTTTAGGTTAAAATTCACAACCATATCAAGCCCCAAGCATGAAGCATCAAAATACAGGGGTCAAGTAACAAAAATGAGTAGAAAAGTACTAAACAAAAGCACATAAAAAAGTTGTCAGATGATTCACACTGATTTTAGAATAAATAAATGAATTGATACACAAGCATATACCCAGGCCAATTATGTGATTAATGCAGTCTTTGCATATCAAAGAAAAACCTAAATCCAATGATGTAACAGCTGAATTTAAATTTGTCTCACAAAAATCAAGTAGGTCAGGTAAACTTTACAAGAGACAAGATTCAACTGATAAAAGGTTACTTTGAAAAACACAAATAATTCTAAAAGAATTTAAACAACTTTGTGGTGGTGTTTTATGTTTTATATTTTAATTAATTATTTTTTAGTATTACAGTTATTTCATTAATTATTAGAGAGCCTGACTCAATCATTGATAGTGCATGACACTCTAAATAAAAAGTTATGCAGTTGCCACAATAAATCTGCTTAACTTATTAACTAGGGTGTTAATCAACTCATACTTAGAGTGCTAATCAACTCTAATGTATAGTGTACGGCAAAAAAAACACTTTTTTGAAAAACTTGTTCTTATAAACAATCAATAAAAACTTTTCATTCAATGATATAATTACTACTACTACTACTACTACTACTACTACTACTACTACTACTACTACTACTACTACTACTACTACTACTACTACTACTACTACTACTACTACTACTCAACCATTGAGTTGGCATGGCTGGATTTGAACTCCTACTGCACAACAGTCCAGGTTTTAACATTGTGGTTTGACCCTCTAACCAATTAAGTTATCTAGCCAAAATAATAATCATTGAGCAATAAAAAATGGGAATCTGAATCAGAAATTCAAATAAGTTTCTGAACGTTATGTTGAATGTTTTCAGAAACTCTGATAGTGATAGAAAATCGTAACTATTGAAATTTTTAAGATCATCTTCAAGATCATCTTTCAAATATATTGTTAAATTGTTATCCTACCTAAGCATAACCAACAGACTGGTACTCGTTGACAACCTTGAATGCAGTTTAATTAATTAACTATAAGTAAATACATAAGTAAACTGTATGCAAATTTTATTTCTTTATTTAAAAAAGATAAGCTTAGCTTTAAAAGAGTTCATAGAAATAGCAGTATAAATACTAGTAGAAAGTCGATTTTAATAAAACAGAGGCAAAAAATTATTTCAAAAATTATAAAAAGTTTTTTCACAATTATATTTCATTTGATGACTTCTTGTTGATTAATAAATTTTTGGCAAAATTTAATTAATTAAACTTACTATTTTAATTCCATTGAATAACTTGAACATTTGAATCAAGTTACCCTGAATCCATCTTATAACTAAAGACCCATGTTGTCTCATTTTTTCTCAGTATAAGTTTTTTTAGTGGTAAAATTTTTTTCTTGTAGCATAATGCTGTACCTTTTCTAAGAGATTAATTTCATTTTTAGAACATGGAGACCACACAAATACAGCAAATTCAATTAATGGTATTACAAAAATTGTGTATATAATTTTTAGTAATTCACTAAAAAAAAGGTTTAAACCTAACGAAATGTATTCCTCAACTAACCCAAAACTTTATTTGCTTTATTTGCATATAGAGTTATTTGATTTTTCCATTTTAAGTCGGAGATAAATACTACACCAATATGTTTTTCAGCAACAGTTGTACTTTATACATTTTGGTATATTTTGCATAAAATAAATTCTTTTGGGGTTATTTTTACCAAAAAGCGTTATTAAACACCTCTTAAAATTAAACTTTAATAGTCATTTGTTGGACCAGTTGATACTTTATCTATGTCTTTTTGCAATAAGTTAACACTTGCTTCAAAATCAACCTTAATGATACTTTTGCATCATTAGCACACATCTTTGAAATTCATATAAAGTTCTCATATAAACTGTTAATATAAACTGGCCCTACGGTACACCACTAAATATTTCTAGCAAGTAGGTCAGGTAAACTTTACAAGAGACAAGATGAGACTTCTATTTTTTAGAAATTCTTCAATCTATTTTAACAATGTTCCAGAAACACCATAACATTAAAGTTTTATCTGCAGTCTTTTATGGGGCACCGAATCAAATGCCTTTGCAAAGTCTAAGTAAATTACATCTGTATATTCTGAGATAAATAATACGAGATCTATAATACGAGATAAATAATACGAGATCTAATGTTTCAATAAGGTTGGTTGAACAAGATCTTTTCTTAACAAAGCCATGCTAATTTTTCAAAAGAAAATTATTTGCATTTAGAAAATTTATAATTGAATCTTGCACAACCTTCTAAAATATTATAAGATACATAAGTGAGTGGTATCGGATAATAATTTAACGGCGACAGTTTCCTTCTTTTTTAAATTGAGGACTAATATTGGCTGACTTCTACTTGATTAAAGCTGTAAATATATGTACAAGCAGTAGAGCTATTCCATATCCACAATTTTTTATAAACTTACTCTTAAAAAATTGTGTTAATAAGTTCTGCTCCACACATTTTCCTGTATTTAAACGTTCCAATTTATTGAGAACATCTTTGTAGGAAATTATATTCAAATCCAAATTTTTATTATTGAGTCTAGGCGCAAATGCTGGCAAAAAAAAAAAAATCATTCTCTCGAAGATCTTGGAACTTGTTGTTTTATATATATATATATATATTTTACATTATATATATTTTATATAATACATATATATATATATATATATATATATATATATACATTATATATATATATATATATATATATATATATATATATATATATATATATATATATATATATATATATATATATATATATATATATATATATATATATATATATATATATATATATATATATATATATACAATATATATATATATATACAATATATATATATATATATATATATATATATATATATATATATATATATATATATATATATATATATATATATATATATATAATATATATATATACAATACATATACATATATATTTTTTACATTATATCAACATCTTGGAACTTGTTCTTTCATAAATTTGCTATCTGATTTGTGTCATTTTTCACTATTTTATCAAAAAATTATCATAAAATGTTTATTTATATATTTTTAATTACTGATGAAAAATACAACAATTATGGCAAACTGAAAATGTTCCAAGTAAACCAGTATATATAATGAACATAAATGGTAACAATGCTGAGATTTGTGATTTTGTTTGCCTCAGTTTAAAAAAGGGAACTAGAAATTTGTAAAAAATTTTTTGAGAAATGTTTAGGAGATTTTTAAGTTAGATTTGACGTACAAAACTGATTTAAAATTCCGGAAATTTTTAAGAACGATTTATATGGATTGTCAATCGATTGGACAATCATTAAACAGTTATTAAGACTTTAAAAATCTTTTTTTCATTATTTTATAAAGTAATACAAAGTAAAAGAAATTCAAACATTAAACTATATACTATATATCATTAAAATACTACTTTATAATAATATATTTATTAACATATTAATTATTATATAATATTGCATTATTTATATTACTTTATATCTTATACTGTTTTCAAAATAAAAGCAAAAACAAAGTGAATTTGGCAAGAAATTTGTTTAAACTGATCAATACATAATACATTCAATGCATAAACATTCAATTTATAAAAATTTTAAATAGCTTTCAAAAAAAAATTTATTATGAAAAGCAGTTTTTAACAGTTTTAGATTTTTTTTAGAGGCGAAATTCTCTTACTTAGTAATTCCTTGTGTGTTTATCTAAAACTTAAACCTGTTTTATTTTTTCATTTCATTTTTTTGTGAGACAGTGCCCCACACCATCATTACATGCTAAAACAACCTTGTTTTTCAAGGTTCATATTTTAGAGTTGAGAGAGGTTTGTAACCATAACTGAAAGTAGCCTTCTCAGCCTTGGGAAGGTAAATTAACATTGAAAAAAACTAAATTTTTTTTAAATTTTAAAATGACTAGAAGTGATAGTAAATTCTGAGTTTTATTGTTTTGTGTATATACAGACAACATTATCTGGTATGGACAAGCACATTATTTTTATTATGATATAATAATTGGTACAAAAATAATTTCCTTAGGACATTATTACCAATTGGCATTATTTCCTATGAACATTAATAGCAATTGATATTCCCTCAAAACATTTTTAAATGTTGGTATAGTTCCCTATAGACATTATTAATGATTAGTGCACAAAAAATCCGTTCAGATATGTTTAAATATTGTGTGCACAAAGCAATTCTTGTGTAAATGTTTATAAAAGCTGTAGCGGCAAACTTAATAAAGATGTGATATGAGAGGAAACAGCAAACGGTTTGAGATTTTATATTATTGATGTATAATATTAATTAATAAATTTAGCAAACAATAATAAATGAAAAAAAAAGGATGATAATGGGACAGAAGAAGAAAAAGCAAAAAGATACAGAAAAGTCAAGGTATATTTACTTGT